GGGGGGGGGGGGGGGGGGGGGGGGGGGGGGGGGGGGGGGGGGGGGGGGGGGGGGGGGGGGGGGGGGGGGGGGGTGCTGAAGCAGGTGCGGTTTGGGGTCCTTGGCGGCGGAACTATCGTGATTTTCGGGGTTCCCAATAGTGTTAGCTCGGGCGAAAGGGCATGTGTTCGATTTGGAGGACGCCCGAGGATGTTGTTCGTTGGAGCGAAAATATATTATTTGGCACTTTTGGTGCGCCAACCTGCNAAGGATGTTTTTCGTTGGAGCGGAAATATATTATTTGGCACTTTTGGTGCGCCAACCTGCCCAAAAATTTTCTCATTAAATTTATTTTTCTCAATAAGTATAATCCGGTGTTATTGGAAACCGAACAACGGCGGCTCGTTATCTCCACGTGGTCACGACGTACGTGAACATGATGGCTGATGCCGTGGCGGCTGTGGTGGACAAATCCACTGAAAGTATGACCAAACCAATGCTGTGGATCCCCTAAGAGGCGCGTGAAAGTGAGACAAATCCGGAACGGGTGGAGGACCTGGACCAAATCATCAACCGGGTGGACACTCTGCGGGCTCTGACATTACGAATTTTCACCAAAGTCGCCGTCAAGGACGCTCTGCCTGCCAGTGTCAGGAGAGTAGATGGGAACGAGGACTTGCGCGAGTTCGCGGAAGAGGCTGAATGGCTCAAAAAATGACTTTCTTGGCCGTCTTGAATGTGACAAGAACCGCGAGGTGTTGTCTGGAAACTTGTTCACCGGGGAGGTTGTGACCGAAGATTTCTTCGACGCACCGAAGCACGGCAAATACGGGGCCTGGCATGCGAAACTGAGGAGTGTCATCGTGCAATTGACATGTGGGTATCGATTGGGCCGCTCGGCTAACTTTCTCGAGGCATATTACGCACTGTCTGCGGTGGAGGTTGAGCTTTTGATTTGTCACCACCTCCACTGCAAGGTCAACCTGAAGTACGGTCTCAACAATCTTGATATTGGTAACGGAGGAAACTAGTGTCACCGAACACCATCTGAAGGGAGAGAAATCGCACGCGTTACTTTTTGGTGTGAAGCGATGCCGTTTTTTTTCCCCCAACATTGCACCAGCAACGGCGTTGTTGGGTGTGGAAATCGGGACGCTGAAAAGTATGGGAGTCATCAACTGAACTCGCTGGACTTGAAGTACTTCGCCACGCGCGGTTTGGCCAAATACTCATCCCTCTACTGATTGAGAGCGCTTCGTGCGGAAAACCGGCGAGAGAAGCTGTTAAATAATCGGCGAAGCTGTTTCAGGTTGCAAGAAATGGGAGAGCCACAAGAGCTGCTGAGAAGAGTGGAGGCATAGGAGCCTCGGCGAAAGAGCGGCCGTGCCGGCTCGTTTTCTTCCATCAAACGCCAAAGGGGCGGGAGGAAACCATGGATATGTTCATGGCAGCTATCACCAGGAATGGTTGTGGGCGCCTGGTAGACGCCATCAAGAAATATGACGCCGACTTCATATGGGGTAGGGGAAGGCACGTCTCGCGAAGGCGAAAACGGTGTCAACCGTTGATCCTGCCACCATCCCGATTGAGTCTTGGGCGCGACGACAGGCTGCTGCGAACAGGCAGGCCAGCACAAGAGCCACGCTGATGAGGGAAAAGTCTTTACAAGCGAAACCATCATTTTCCAGCTTCGCCATGAGAGTGTTGCCAGCCTCTTGCTGCCCATGCTTAATCTCGTCGTTAGTGTTGCCGAACAGGTGATCTTCAGAGCGGCCGTCGTCGGGCTTTTGAATAACATCGTTCCCACGCCAGTCAGCTGAACTCCGATGCAAGGAATAGCAGGATCATATTTCGGCTAATGGTAAGTAGACGGATAAAGCCGAGCAGGATCGCTCGAGGGTTTACATGGACCATGAAATAGAGGGCGCGGAGGTCGTGGACTGGTGGGTAGTGATGGCACTGGTGGGCGATTGTTTGTCAAGAAGCACTATGGAGGGCTATTGGACAAATCGTTCGGTCCATTGGGANAACTGGTGGGTAGTGATGGCACTGGTTGAGCGATTGTTTGTCAAGAAGCACTATGGAGGGCTATTGGACAAATCGTTCGGTCCATTGGGAACGGACGGAGAGCTCCTGACCGAGTATGTATTTGGCGTGGTGCTAGACGCGATCGGAAAGACGTTCTTCTCCACGTGGAATGCGCACGTCGAAACGGACTTCGGACCGTGCAAGAGTCGCTGGTCGCCGAGCATATTACCGAAATCGGGGTCCCAAAGGACTCCGTCATTAAGGACGAGCTGTCTTGGCAGATGAGGACGTCGAACGAGGTAAGTTCCCTGTGCATGTCGTGTGTAAATATGATAGATTGGTACAGTGCGATTTCGGGAGCACGTAGCTCTTTTTTTCTGACTGGAAATACGTGGCTAGTCTTGACGTGAAACATTCTCCCTCGGACCTTTTGTGTTTCACCACAACAACTCCTTACCCTCGGCAAGGCTTACAACGAGAGGACAGCAAACTCGACAACTCTACTGAGGATGACGTGCAACGCCGAGCTCCATTATTTCAAGGGGGGGATCCGGAAGATGCTTGTCGCAAGACGCCGTGTGCTCGAGGGCGGGTCGGAAACTTCTTTAGCATGCGACACGGATGTATGTATCCTGTGGCGATCTATCCGGTGGTGGTGGTGACGTCGATGGTGAAGCTGACGCGGTGATGGCCGAACTGGTAAGAGACAGCGAGACCGAAAGACTGGAAAAGGCGTTGAGGAAGTGGAAGAAGGCCAAAAAACCAGCTAGTACCCAGGAGGCTGCACTTACTACGGTGGCACCGCCCCTTGCACCCACTTCTTCGGCCGGGGCTGCACCTGCGGCCGCTGCTGCCGCCGGGAAGAATCCGAAGAAAATCAAACAGGGCCAGACACAGGGCCAGCGCGCGACGTACGCGCCAAAGACAGGTGAGCGCGTATATTCGTGCCAAGACATGTGTATGTGTTTGCTTGTTTGTACGGTCTCTTGGGGCACGAATAGAATGTCATCTGTCAACACAAAACGGCGCGCACNGTTCGTGCCAAGACGTGTGTATGTGTTTGCTTGTTTGTACGGTAACTCTTGGGGCACGAATAGAATGTCATCTGTCAACACAAAACGGCGCGCACTGCTTGATGAATCGGCCACAGGAAGGAGAGGCCAATCACCGACCAAGAATACGACGGTTTGAAGCTGGTGGAAGCGATCAGGGGTGCCTGGGCAGAAGGCCAAGGGGAGGCAATCGGCCAAAAGCAGGGGCGACAAAAAATGATGCAGTGTATCCCTACATAATCAGGCCAGCACACCGCAACGGGAAACTTCATATGGTGTGGACGTTGCAAGATATAGAAACAGCCGACTTCCAACCCGGGGAATGGTTTGTTGGTTTAGGGCTGTCACGGGGACGTGCCCAGGCGGGGTTGAACAAGACAGTTGGTCTTGCCGAGAAACAGGTCGATGGCGTCATGTGGACGTCTTGGCAGCAGCTAGACGAGTAGTCGGCGATGGTGTGTGACTTTGCGGCGTGTGAGAGTTGTTTGTATTCAGGACTTAATTGAGAAATATTATTTGTGGTGGAAAACATTCCTCGTTTCAGGACGTGAAGCGCGCCTCTAGACCCAGGCTTCGTGCTTTGCATGTGTTCATCATTATGGCGACATTTCAGGGCAGATGCCCCCTGGAAATCTATTTGGATAAGGACGGTTTTGCGCGTTCGTTCAACACACACAGTCGTTTTCACGCACGCCACAGGAGTCGTCGCCACGCAGACGTGAAGGTCGAAGCCTAAATACCGGTCTTCTTGCCCGTCTTCCGGCTGAGCCTGCTGTCCTCGGGGGAGGAGGTGGTTTCTTTTACGTGACGCCAAGTATCGAGCGCTCTATAGGCGGGAGCGTGCCCCCCGTGGTCCCCGCTGTCCTCCAGTCTGATTTGGTTGTTGTCTGGTTGCTGTTGCTGAGGCATCACGTCCTAGATGCTTCCGTTGCACCCTGCGCGGAAGCCCCTTTCAAAACCGGAAACGTTGAGAACACCGGGATTGCACGTTGTTCTCTAGTCTATCTCGGAGTACTTTGTTTATCCCACCACTTTTTCTTTTGACAAGTGTTCCCTTCGATTTGCGTTTATGGGCACCTCAGGACTCGTTCTCATGCATCCACGGAATTTCGAAACATGGTCTGTCGTCGTGACGTTCTCGTTGTCGTCGTTGCTGATGTTTTTGATGTGTTGTTGTTGGTGGTGATGGTGGTGGGGGGGGTGGTTCGGGTGGTTGGGTTATCATTGTTGGTGGTGATGGCGATGGACGCCGCTTTTCCTGTTGCTGTGCAAGCTGTTGTAAAAAATGCATTCCAGACCACATCATCGCTGTGCCGACAAACGTTCTGCGCAACGCCGAATTATGAAGATACATTCGGCAAGGAGACCGACAAAACATCAGGCGACAGCCTCTTTGAAGTCAATTTAGGGTAGCATGCTGCAGAAAACACACAGGAAGAGGATATCACGCGCGAAGAGGATTTCACCTTCCTCGGGGGGGTGCAAACAGGAGCAAGCTTCGTCAAACCGCCCGTGTCCTGCTTCCTGAAAGCTTTCCCGTGTGATTCGACGAGGGTTATAGCCCCCAGCGACAAAGAAACAGGAAGAGGAGCGAACTCCGAGATGTCCTTATTATCCTGTTTCCTGGTGTGGCCCCACGATTCGGAAGAACAGACCTGCCTTTGGTTTAGCACCAGGCGCAAAACCACCCTGCCAGTGGTGAAGCCAACCCTCGAGCCAACTTTTCCAAGCGGGAAAGAACAGTAGAGTAATGCTACGGTAGGGGGGTCACATTATGGGGCATGTGTGACCGACACCACAGGACTGCGCTATTGCTGACCAGCCAGAGTACACCAATTCTGTAGGCACACTGACTTGTGTTCGCGTGTCAGTCACTGATTGATTGTAACAACAATAAGTATTGGAGAGCGTCACTCAACACGGGCCCAATAGCTAATTGATTGCAAACAGCCAGTCACGAGGGGTATCCCCCCTACCGTAGCATAGCTCAGTAGTATGNGCAAAAAGCCAGTCACGAGGGGTATCCCCCCTACCGTAGCATAGCTCAGTAGTATGCCCAACAACCTGTCAACCGTTGGACCCTGCCCAATACGTCGCTAGCACCGATCCGTGGGGACGATGGCGCTCTCGTCATCATGCAGGCGAGGAAATATGTGTGCCCGTTGTTACNGCCCAACAACCTGTCAACCGTTGGACACTGCCCAAATCGTCGCTAGCACCGATCCGTGGGGACGATGGCGCTCTCGTCATCATGCAGGCGAGGAAATATGTGTGCCCGTTGTTACCCACGTGCTTTCCCTTTCGCCCACAACAATCGTGAGAAACGCGTGGTGTCAACATCGAGATTGCAATTTTGCGTCGGGAGGTGTGCCGCGTGCTCGCGTGCTTACGTTCATGGTCATGTGGTGGCGTGCGGGATCGATCAACATTAGGAAACATACCAATGTTGTACCCTTTCCGACAGCTGGGGAGATAGAGCAGTAGATGGCGCGTCCCGCCCCAGAGAATTGCTATCTAGGAACGCAAGCAAGTTTCCCACGAAACATGCCGAGGATTCGGATCTTTAGGTGTGGACGCTGGACGGTGGGTGTGGCACGCACACACCTGCAACCTGTGCCACTTCCCCTTCTTTCCGCCCACGAACAAGCAAACAGCTGGCTGTGTGAGACAACGCCAAGCTCTACAGGGTACACATATTTGTGTGTTTAGGGGGCATTCTTACCCGTGTGGGCACGCCGGAACCTGCGTCAAGGCCAGCAGCCGCCTCCCAAACTAAGAGGCACAATCACGACCGCGCATGTTCTCCCGTCGTCTGCCGTCGATGAATCCAAAGTATCGACGTTGTTGTCGCAGTCCTGTCTCCCTCGCTCCTTTTTTATCGGGAGAGGGAATAGACAGAGGCGCCGGTTGATCACTTGGACCAGGTCTGCTCCTTCGTACCGCCTCCTTTTCCTTCGCTGTGAGACAGACCTCTTCTCCTTCGCCCCCCGTCATTTTTGTCGAACAATCGCTTCTTTTTGCGTACTACCTCCTACGTGATAGATATACTTGGAGCAATGCCAAGTGGTTGGTACGGGATGTTCCCATGGAATGAGGTAGAGCGAAATACCGGGTGACATGTGTGGTACGTAGAATGGATTCCAGGGATGTACAAGGTACCCCTGTTGTATGCGGCATCGCCCCCTCAACGGGGCTTGTGTGTGTATGTGGATGCAACTAATCACAACAAGTTTTCCTCCTCGGCGCAAGCCCGCCGAGTTGCCGACACCCTATTCAGCACACGTCTTGCGACAAGCTACCCCCAGTTCGGATTATCCTAACAAGCTAGCGTCTGATATCATACAGGATCCCGAGGTGGGGCTAGCTACAAAAGGGTTCGGCCAGAGAACAGTGACACGGGAATCATGGAGCAGCAGCTGGATGAGCTCCAGCTCTCGGACGAGCAGCGGAACGTAATAGACGCCCTCATCAAGGAGCAGGTCAAGATCAAAGTAGAAGAAGCAGCAGCAGCAGAGCGCCCCGCAGCACAGAGCGAGGGCATGCCTTACGAAGGAGGCGACACCCGGCTGGAGAGGTCGGCTGGGTCAGAGTCAAGCCCGCGACCCGAAGACCAGCCCCGATCGCCGGCGGACGTCAGCCTCATCGACACCCTCGCGCGGGCCTTGCAGAGGGTCAAGATGGAACCGGAGGATGAATACAGGGAAGTCCCAACCCCTAAAGAAACAATACGTATTAGCGCAGGTATCACAATCCCGGCATTCACCGGGAAGGTTAGCCCCGAGGACGATGTACAGACGGCGGTAATGTTTTTTACCAGTCAATTCCGCTATTTGTTGGAGCAGAAGCGTTGCCTTGGGGCAATAGAATCGAAGAACACGATTCGTGTAGGGAAGACAGATGCCAATATCTCGGCATTGAAGGTGGAGCATGGCACGGAAGCTGTAGTCTAGATCGGGCGGTTAAGGCTTGGCAGCTGATTATATCCAATAAACAAGTACCCACGATAGTCCCTGCAATCCTATCTAGTAGTTGCCCCATTGAATCGTGGGATCAATTCTCAACTTTTACCGAGTGCACGCAGAAACGGACAAGTTGGAGTTGCAGGGGCAGTGGTACTCGTTGAAGCAGCAAGTAGGGGAGGAGCCCCGGCGCTATTTCACAAGAGCATCAGTGCTTCGTCAGAAACTAGAAGCGTACGGTTGGCTGCAATCCGATCATGATGCTAACGTCCACTATGTACGCAACCGTCTGCCCGATTTCAATGTGCAGAGGAGCGTGTTGTTGGCGCATTTGGAGTCAAGCCGGAATTGGTAGAGAAGATGATTCTGACTGCCTAAGTGGAGACGGAGGCCGCTAGGAAGAGCGCGTCGGAGATCGTGGGGGCGTATGCATTTGTCACTGGCGGTGATAGCCGTGGTGGCGGCGGCGGGAACATGGGGGATTGGGGGAAGGCGAGAGGACAACCGCAGCAGCCACTGCAGCAGCATCAGCCGTACTTCAAGCTGCAGTAACAGGTATACCCGCCGCCGTACCCGCCTGAGATAAATTATTGTAACCTCCACATCTCCTCGTCCCACAGCAACGAGAAATGTCGCTTGCAGCGGGGTTGGGGAGGTCCCTCGGGCGGCCAAGGTGCGAGCTACGGCGGAAGGCACGGGCCCTGGCATGGGGGGCCGGGGCTTTTCTGGAGGAGGACGTCATCAGCAGCAGCCGGCAGGAGGAAGATTCGGGGGGCGTGGCGCCGCTTCCGGTGGGAGGGGCAGGGGCCCTTTTCACCAATTACCGCCGAGCACCAACCTCCCCGCCTACCCTGTACCTCAGCGGGGCTACGACTACAGCGCCTACCCCCCCCACATGTACCGCCTGCAGGGAAATGAACCTGCCATCCAATCGAGTGACCCTCGCAAGCGGTGTGAGAGCTGCGGTGAAGTCGGCCACAACCATCTGTTCTTTCCTTCGCGTGTTTATGTCGGAAGGCCTGCTGGCATGCCGGCCGCCAACGCGCCGCCTAGGCCCCCACCGCCCCGGCCGCCGGCCGGTGGCTACAGCCAGCGGCCGCCGTGGGCCCACTCGTACGGGCAGGTCATCACCGCGCAGCAGCACGGTGGAGAAGGGGTAGAGCCAGGAGCAGCAGGAGCAACGGTGGCGACGACGGCAGCACCATCTACGGGGAGGCATGCAGTGACGCACGTGACCGGTGTTTATCAACAACCGGTGACGCACGCGAGCGGTGTGTACGAATACCCACTCCAACCGTAGCAGCCGGAGTACCTATCCCCCCCCTTCCAACAGCAGCAGCCAGTCCCCGCCCGTTACGCCTCTCTCGCGCCTTCGACCGGAGCAGCTTCGTCGGCAGGGGGGACTTTGCATGCGTGTGGTGTAAGGGACATGTCAAGTGAGTACCAGAGTGAGATTTCGAGTGGATTCGTAGGGGGTGAGGGGGATGCCTTGATGAACTCTATGCAGGCTGTGAGGGCGGAGCGTGTAGCAGTTGAAGAATGGCTTGCAGACTCCGGTGCAACTAACCAAACATGTACGATGTGATCATCCCACCCCTTGGTAGCGAGAGAGTGCAGATCGGTGATGGCAGGACGATACGAGTGCTTGGAAACGGATGTTTAAACGTGAGATTTCATCTTGAAGGTAGAGACTTTTGCGTGAAGCTTACCGGAGTACGTCATGTAGAATGAATAGGGTTTAATCTTTTCTCCCTCCACCAAGCACAGGGACTGCAACGTATTGCCTTGGACGACGTAGGCACCCATCTTTTCCATGGCCAATTGACCTTTCCCCGTGGCGAGAGGGGTTCGTCGCTTTGGGCCACTCGCTTGCCGCCCAACTATGAAACGCCCACCGCTGTGCCTGTGATGCCTTTTCCCCCGGTGCCCCCTCCCCGCGCTGCTGGTGTACGTTTACATGTGAGTGATGGTAGAGTGATGCCAGAAACCCCACCGGTGTTTTCCCCCCCTCCGGGTGTAGTATACGTTCCTTCCCGCAGTGTCAGGTGTCCCGCCCGCTGAAAGCAGCGTAGTGCCTCCGGTGATGTCTGTACCTCAAACCGCTCCCAGGAATGTTGTCCAACCCCCCGTTACGAATTTTCAGCCCGCTGCTGCCGGCGCAGTACCTTCTACGGTGTATGGTTTCCCGCCCGCTGCAAACAGCGTAGTGCCGTCTACTGTGGCCGGTTTCCCGCCCGCTGCAAACAGCGTAGTGTCCTCAATTGTGTACGGTCTCCCGCTGCGAGCAGCGTCGTTCTTCCGGCAATGTATGCTCCCCCCCCCGCTGACAGGAGTGTGGTGTTTCCTTCCGCTCCTCAAGTGCCGCATGGTATGGAGTTGGTAGGTGTTCCCGGGCTGCTCTCGCCCGACAGCTCCATTTTTCAGGAGAGTAATGATGATGATGACCGTGAATGCATTCCGTTCACAGAGCAGGGAGATTACGATTGGCTGTGTACCTATTGGAACAAAGAGAGATATCAGAAGACTTGGTGTTTGAGTCTGGATTTGCAAATGTCTTTGATGATGTTGCTTTCGCCGTCCCCGTCATGGCCCCGGGCAAGCGCCCTGTTTCGGTGGGTAAACCCACCAAGATTATTGACGTTAACCTTCTCCACGTTTCGGGCTCCCACGCCAATGAGTTTCTTTTGCGTGAGCTTGCGAAGCAGCACGGTCTCCGACTCAATGATGTCCTGCAGCCTTGCCGTGGATGTCTGCAGGCAAAGGGGAAGAAGGCGGGCGTGCCTCACCAATCGGGCACGCGCGCGGAGCGGTCGCACGATCTTTGGCATATCGATCTGTTCGGACCGATGGCGGCCTCGCTGGGGGGGTCGGTTTTCATGGTTATGTTCGTGGGCAACTTCTCGCCGTGGATGAAGCTGTACGGGATGAGGCGCAAGTCGGACACCCTCGCCTTCGTCAAGACGTTCCTCGCCGACATGAGTGGCACCGGTGTCTCTCGTTCTTGCCGGATGGACAACGGGGGGGAGTTCGTCAGCCGCGACTTCATCGCCTTCTGCGACAACGCCGGCATCCGCCGTACATACACGGCGCCGGGCACCCTACAGCAGAATGTTCCGGCGGAGAGTGCGATCTGGCGCGTGAACAAGGCCGGCCACACCGCTCGTCTGGGGGCTCGCCGCCTGTTCCCCAAGATCGACTTCTCCCGCGTCCCCGGCTTCGGACGCGATGGCGAGCGACTTTGGCTAGAGTCGTGTCACTGGGCTGCCGGCGGCTTCGACCGTTCTCCGACCAAGGCACACGTCGGATTTAAGTCGCCGCACGAGCTCTTCACCGGTCGCCCGCCCCCGCTCCAGATTGTCCCGTTCTTCCAACCGGGGTACATGCGTGTGATGCGCGCGCGGAAGATGGATCCCCAGGCAGTGCTGTGCTGCTACCTCAACAACGGCGACAACCATCACGAGTCGGCGGTCAAGGTCCTCAAGTCCGCGACGGGGCGCGTTTGCATGACAAACGACGTCGTGTGAGTCTCCGACCGCGCGCCGTTGGTGACCCCGCCATTGGAGATGCCGGCGCCGGCGGGCGAGGGGAGGGACTCGGACGTCGTCGCCGCACCATTTCTATTTGAGTAGATTTCACCGTCTCTTTTACCCCCCTCACCGTTCGCCCGATATTCCACTTCACCCGCTGTCATATCCTCACAGGCGCTGCCGGCAACTTCCACACCACCATCGCCGGCGGCGCCGTCTACCGCAGCAACACCATCGCCAACGGTCACGGCGCCGCCTGCAACGCCACAGTTCACCATCACCGTGCCACCTGCAACGCCACAGTTCAACACCACCGCGCCACGTGCAACGCCGTTCGCCGTCGTTCCACCGTACATTTCAACGCCTCTTTTACCCCCCTCACCGTTCGCCCGATATTCCACTTCACCCGCTGCCATGTTCTCACAGGCGCCGCCGGCAACTTCCACACCACCATCGCCGGCGGCGTCGTCTACCGCAGCAACACCATCGCCAACGGTCACCGCGCCGCCTGCAACACTACCGTTCACCATCACCGCGCCACGTGCAACGCCGTTCGCCGCCGCGCCACCGTTCACCACCACCGCGCCGCCTGCAACGCCGTTCGCCGTGGTGCCACCGTCTCTCGCCGTCGCGCCGCCCGGTGCCGCGTCATCGACCAACATGCCGCCGCTCACTACGAGGACCATCCGTGAACTGGACGTGGGGCGCGGGGACATGAGGGATTATGGGCGCACGAGGGCAGCCGCCAAGGACCAAGGAGGGGGGCGGGCGCCGTCGATGCCGCCCCTCTCTGGCAGGACTAATCGACAGTTGGACTTGGGACGAGAGACGCGGGTGCCAGGGGGATGGAGGGGTCGGCGGGTGCGTTTCCAGGATAGGGGGGCCGAGCGGTCGACGTCACCTGCCGGGGGCGGCGACGCTCCCGCCCACCGCTTCGGGCTTGTATCCCTGCAGGACAAGGCAACGCTCCAGTCGACTCTCACCACTGGCAGCGTCGTCGATAGGGGGAGAAAGGAGATCCCGAGTTCAGCCGGAGGACGCGAAGGAGCGGAGCGTGGGGGGCGAGAGCGGGGGGGCACGAAAACAGAAGGACTGCGTGAAGAAGTCCCAATTGCGTGCGCCACCTTGCTTGCCTCCCGCGAGGACATTGATCGCACGATGAGGGATTTAAATCCCCCGGAAGTGGCACCGGACTTGCCACATTGCTATGCTAACCACTTGAGCGTGCCCAAAACTTATAGGGAGGCTGTGTCCTCTGAGTATGCATGACTTGTGGATAGACTCTGTAGAGAGGGAGTTCAGAGGTCTGATGGAGGCTGGTACCTTTGAGGAAGTAATGTAGCAACCGAAGCGTTATCAAGGCCAAGTGAGTGTTTAACTGGAAGTCTGATAAGTATGGATGGCCGACTAGTGTGAAATCACGGCTAGTAGCGAGAGGAGATATGCAGCGAGTACATGTAGATTGTGGAGAGACGTATGCACCGACTGTAGCGGTTTCTAGAGTTCGCTTGTTGGCAGCGATGGCATGTGAGCAAAACCTTTCTCTTCGTCATTTTGATATCAAGCAAGCATTTGTCCAGTCCGATTTTGATGGGGATGTCTTCATGCGTCTGCCAGAGGGGTGAGGTAGATTGTCAGGTATGATCGTGAAGTTGAACAAGAGTCTGAATGGCCCTAAGCAGGCATCAAGGCAATGGCAGTCACACTGGGCGAGGTGTTTGATTTGTTTGGGTTTTGTTCAGTATCTAGCGGATACGTGTGTATTTCGGTTGATCGAGGAGGGAAGAGTGGTCGTGACTCTGGAAGTACATGTGGATTACATATTTTCGATTGGAGAGGAGAGGTGTGACCAATTTGGTAGGGACCTCAACACCATGGTACCGGTGAAGAATCCTGGTGATTTGAGATGGTACTGTGGATGTTTTTATGTGGGAGATTGGGATGCAGGGACTTTGAAGATCTCGCAGCAGACGTACGCTAAAGAGTTGGGGATGGAGTTTGGTGAAGAGAACGGGAAGGAAATTCCTCTTCCTGTAGGGTTGAAGCTTTCAGAGTATGACCAGGATGAGGACGTGATATCCTGGCCTTTTCGTGAGCTGATAGGATCACTGATGTGGCTGGCAACGCAAACGAAGCCAGATATCGCGAATGCAGTAAGAGCGGTAGCACGGTACTGTGCTTGTCCCAAAGAAATTCATTGGAGAGCAGGTCTTGGTATTTTTGAGGTATGTGGAACGGACTAGTGACTTGGGGATTACATTCAGGAGGGGTAGTGTAGCAGAGTTGAGCATGGAGGTGTTCGCAGACGCAGACTATGCAAGTAAGGCTGCCGATAGGTGGTCTGTGTTAGGAGGCTTGGTGATGTGTGTGTGGGGGTGTATTTCTTGGTTTTCAAGGAGGCAGAAGTGCGTCACGTTGAGCACGACAGAGGCGGAGTATGTCTCCCTTGAGGATGTGATTAAGGAAGTGATGTTTCTGAGGCAGGTATGGCGTTTCAAGTTGCCAAAAGCAGGCATGCCGTGTGTTCCGGTGTTCAAGGATAACGAGGAGGCTATTCAGTTGGCGCAGAACCCGATTGGCAACAGTTACTCGAAGCACATCAACGTAAGGCACCACTTTATCAGGGAACTGGTAGGCAGGAAGGAAATTTCGATTTTTCACGTGGAATCGGCGTATCAACATGCTGACTTCCTCACGAAGGCACTTCACGTCGGAGATTTTGAGTTTCATCGTAACTTCGTGAAGAGTGTGGGACAGGAACGGTAGATTTGGATCTATTTGTTGTTTGATCAAAGAACTAGGGTGGCATCGTTTTACATTTCTGCCTATGGTTTTTTCTCAATGAATGGTGTTCTAGGCCGGGGGGCAATTGGGTCGCTATGATTATCAAAGAACTACAACTAACTGGAATGATCGGGGATGGATATTTCTAGCCCACAAGGCTATTGTTGCAGATTTGAGTTGTGTTTTGGATTATATGTTCTTGTGTTTTGGAGTTACTGAAAGATCGTGAAGACATTGCATAGTCACAATCAGAGGGGCTGATAGATATACTTGGAGCAATGCCAAGTGGTTGGTACGGGATATTCCCATGGAATGAGGTAGAGCGGAATACCGGGTGACATGTGTGGTACGTAGAATGGATTCCAGGGATGTACAAGGTACCCCTGTTGTATACGGCGTCGCCCCCTCAACGGGGCTTGTGTGTGTATGTGGATGCAACTAATCACAACAAGTTTTCTCCTCGGCGCAAGCCCGCCGAGTTGCCAACACCCTATTCAACACACGTTTTGCGACAAGCTACCCCCAGTTCGGATTACCCTAAAATTACGCATACACAAGGAACAAGTGTACCTTTTTAGGGTAAGTTAGCCTGCGACCACGGGAATCGACCGCGTCGAGTGTTAGATCAGTACGGACATACGAAGGTACTGGGTAGAGAGAGATCGGAACGGTTTTTAATGTGAAGACAACAACAACAACAAGAACAATCGTGCGCATCACACATGTCCACTTTTCCCCGGCCACCGCCAAACACACAGGAAAGCAGCACGTGGCCAGCAGCTGCACCGACACCAGAACCAGCGCCAGCACTATCACCAGCATCAGCACCAGCACCGGCACGAGCACCAGCAACAGAAGAGAGCAAGAGCGAGAGCAAGAGGAAGAGCAACCAACAGGTGGGGTGGTTGGACTGCCTGATCTGACGGAAAGAATTTCTTCGATTTCTTTCCCCGCGATCGACCGCTTGCTCCAACAAAAAAATAGCCACTGCTACACGTCGCATGTTGCCCATTACATGTATGTTTCGCTGCTCCACAATGTTGTGGACTGCTCCTCTCAGGAAGCACTACTCGTGCGCACCAATGCAAGGAGGTTTCCGAAATACCTAGTACCCACAACACCCGACCTCTTCGTGGAAGCTGCCCTGATCAGCCCAAAACGTACAACTCGCCCATGGTCGAGGCAGGGGGGGATGAACATACATGACACATGACGGCAGTTCCTTTTATTTTTATCTCGGCGCCATCGTGTGTCCAGAAGGCGAGGTGATTCTTGAGTCAGCCACCCTGTACTACTGCTGTTGCTTGAAGTTAAAATCAGCCCATTAGACTAGTCAGCGGCTGACTAGTCTAATGGGTTGATTTCAGCTTCTATAAAAGTACGTCGTGGGTTCGATACCCAGTCGGTGCACTTTTTTCTGGAAACGTTCGACTCTTGCGAGAGTGAGAGAAGGAAAAAAGCTCGTCGTCGGAGACCCTGGACATCCATTCTAGAACGGATGTGGGTGATGAGTCGAGAATAACGGAAGTGAAATAGCCATCGGATGGATAGTAGCGACTGGCGAGGGGAGCATCCCTCCTCGGAAGGAATATAGAAGCTGAAATCAGCCCATTAGACTAGTCAGCG